CTAAAAATATCCCCTGTCAGAGCTTTATTGTATTAGTCCAATTTCTTTCAAGACAGAGATGATATACAGAAGTTACTGAGTGGGTCATCAGCAAAAACCCACCTCCACTTGATTCAACATCACCATTTTTAGCGCAGCACTTGCCAATATTGCTGTCTCTCAATCTGTTTATTAAGAATGTGCTTTAGTGTTGTTTTTTTTGTGCCATCGCCTCTTACTGTCTGGTCATGCAAATAGCTTATCTAATATTGATTCCTTCCTAACAGCATTCTAAAAATATAAGCTTTATTGTTCTCATGAAACAAATGACTCTCTGCAGTCATTAAAAATCCCAGGGCGTTTCTCGAAAAGAGTAGTGGTGTAACCCCACCTTCCTGGCCAAATTTCCCATTGGCCCTTACCAGTCATAGCCTCCTAATAATCCCCATCTATGAATTGGCTTCATTACTCTGCTCTCCTCCCCACTGATAGCTGATGTGTGGTGAGCGTTCTGGTACACTATGGCTGCCGTCGCATCTTCCAGGTGGGGCTGCACATTGGTGGTGGTGGAGGAGAGTCCCCATTACCTGTAAAGCGCTTTAAGTGGAGTGTCCAGAAAAGCGCTATATAAGTGTAAGCAATTATTATTATTATTGTTGTTATTATTATTATTATTTTTATAATTATTATGAATGTTTTAGCTATGCTTTCTGTATTTAACCAAGAGACAGTATAATATAACAGAATTATTTTGCATAATAATAAATTACTTCTGGCACTGTGAGCAAACACTTCACCAGTGCAAAATATATGTATCTTCAGATCGGGTAGAGATCCATAAGTTAACTGTGCCTTTAGTAACACAAATATTTTGAGTGAGCAGTACAAAGATCTGCAATATCTGTTTTCTTATTTCTTACAATAATTTATTATTTGTAGGCACATAACGTCTGATTCTGGATCATTTAATATTCTTCGCCTTTTATATGTAAATGCAGTGTTCTGATAATGTCAGTCATCAGATCCAATTGGAGGACATGAAAATGTACCTAGGGCATACTACACATATTCCCTTTATTGTTCTCACACCAATTTGGCTAGGAGTCAGTTTGTAAATCTTATAAAACTGGTGTTGTCCAACTTACCCAGCATATTCTATGAGCTTCTGTGTTGGAACCTTTAAGAATTACACCTCAGTTTAGTCAATTTAGTGTCCTTTTTTCTTTTTCTTACCAGTACAATAATTATTGTACAGTGCTTTCAGGTGCTTGAAATGAACTTATAAATAAAAATGTTTTAATTAAATAATACAGACATGGGAAAACTGATTATGTGCCCTCATGTTAAAATAAAACAATTCTGTCACATGCTTCAGCCTGTGCATACCTGCTATCACTCCTGACTGCCTAAACAGTCGCCATCTTACTGAAGAATTATTCAGTTTCTCAGCCAGCTGTCAGATCCTTCTCATTACCCTCCAATTGACTTCACTCTGCCCCACTCCTCCCACCTGCTGGCAGTATGAGATCTTAGTCATTGGAAGGAACGGCAAAAGTGTTTTCATTATAATGTACTTTGGTGTACCAGATGCTCTAAGTAGGTGTAGCACAGGTGGTCAGGCTTGGTTTTCAGCCTCTGTTTCATAACAGTGGCCAAGTATTGCAGCTACTAGGCCAAAGGGAATGTACTCTAAAAGAGCCTATCTCTGCCTTGGGGAATTTGAATGCACTGGAGAGTCCCAGGAAGTAATTTCTCTATAACAAGCTCATTATAAAGTATTTACTCTGTTACGCAGGTGGTTTGCAAGTCTATACATAAGTGACTAATCATTTCACATTAGAGCAAAATGTAAATTTTGATTTATCTGGCATACAATTTTTTAGGTTCTACCTTTCTTTGCTAAGATATTTAATACTTAGAAATTAAGTACTGTAAGTGACTTTTGTCATATATGCGTAACCATATATACTGTACATGTTGATTTAAAAGTCCCATAAAGAAGCAGTGCTGACCTAATGAATCACGTAGTGCCACGTGTTACCAGTATCAAGTTGTTTGTATTTTATTGTTTGCTTTGTTTTGGAGGAGTGTAGAGCTGGCAACACTGGCAAAGA